ATTTCATGTCGAATCTACGATATCAATGCACTCCTACCCAACCAATGTCGACTCTTTCAAGGTGACATCAATCTGCATGGTACTATCGTCTCATCCTCATTCACCAACTCAAGAGTTGGCTCCGTTCAGTATTCGGCTAGTCTCTATTCGAACTATGGCCAATCATGTACTGCAAATACAATCGAAAATCGATATCTTGTTTGTGGAAGTGATTTGACATGGACATGTCCACCGAACACATACTGGAACAGTTTGACATTGATGTGTTCACCTCAATCACCAATACTTGGCTCAACTTGTCAACAGAACATGAGTATGTGTCGAGAAGATCTCAACTATACATGTCTTCGATTCAATCAATGTGGACGTATGTATATTGAGACACCTGCTCGCAGTATCCCAATCTTTGTTATTTCAGCTCTCAAAGTACTGGAAGGTACGACGATAGTCGATGGCAATACAGTCGTTGCAAAAAGTGCGACTATTGGTTTATCTGGTCCGACGAGTATTTTGGTTAACAAGACAGCGGATAATGCTATCATTGTGGTTGATAGTGCTTATGGACAAGTGATAAGTTTTCACGACGATGTTTCCAATATCAGCAATGTGACACTCGTGGCCAAAAACTGGACTGGTGGGAATATGTTCAACACACCCTACACTGCATTCATTCATCCAAGTCAAAAGTCAGTATTATATGTTAGTGACTACTATGGTCATTGTATTTACAAGATCGATAATATGCAAGTAGTGTCTCCAGTACCAAAGGTGGTAGCTGGTGTCGAAGGATCTTCAGGGAGCACAGCGAATAAGTTGAATTGTCCATATGGAATAGCAGTTGATAGTGCTGGTAATCTGTATGTGGCCGATAGCCAAAATCATCGTGTGATGCGTTATGCTGCAAACGCCACTTCAGGAGTTAGGATAGCCGGTACAGGTACAGCCGGTAGTGATTCTCTTTCTCTAAATCGACCATATGGAATGTATCTGGATGAAGAGAATTCTTATATCTATGTGGTTGATGCATTGAACGGTCGCATTCAGCGTTTTTCATTGTCCGGTGGATCACCGAATAATGGCACGACTGTCGCTGGTGGAAACGGTGGAGGAAGAGGCAACAATCAACTTTATTTTCCTTTTGATATCTGCTTAACGAAAAACAAGAGAACAATGTACATTGCGGATGCTGGGAACAATCGAATCGTACGATGGAATATCGGCGAGAAATCTGGTGTTAACATTGCTGGAGATGTGAATGGAAATTCTGGCAGTAGTGCAAGTATGTTGAATTATCCGTATAGTATGGGTCTGAATGATGAAGAGACATTTCTGTATGTCGTCGATAACGCAAATAAGCGCATTATAAGATTTCAGCTTATTTAACTGTTTTATTCTAGCGTATGCAGAAGACACTATCTCTTTTATTATTATTATTGATAAAACTTTTCGTTCTTGNTGGTTTATCTGGTCCGACGAGTATTCTGGTTAACAAAACAGTGGACAATGCCATCATTGTGGTTGATAGTGCTTATGGACAAGTGATAAGCTTTCACGACGACGTTTCCAATATCAGCAATATCACACTCGTGGCAAAAAACTGGACTGGTGGAAATATGTTCAACACACCGTACACTGCATTCATTCATCCAAGTCAAAAGTCAGTTTTGTATGTTAGTGACTACTATGGTCATTGTGTTTACAAGATCGATAATATGCAAGTTGTGTCGAAGGATCTTCAGGGAACACAGCGCATAAGTTGAATTGCCCATATGGAATAGCAGTTGATAGTGCGGGTAATCTGTATGTGGCCGATAGCCAAAATCATCGTGTGATGCGTTATGCTGCAAACGCCACTTCTGGAGTTAGGATAGCCGGCACAGGTACATCTGGAAGTGATTCTCTTTCTCTGAATCGGCCATATGGAATGTATTTGGATGAAAACAATTCTTATATCTATGTGGTTGATGCATTGAATAGTCGTATTCAACGTTTTCCCTTGTCTGGTGGATCACCAAATAATGGCACAACTGTGGCTGGCGGGAACGGCGGAGGAAGAGGCAATAACCAACTTTATTTTCCTTTTGATACCAGCTTAACGAAACAGAAGAGAACAATCGAATCGTACGATGGAATATCGGCGAGAAATGGGGTGTTAAAATTGCTGGAGATGTGAATGGACATTTTGGTAGCAGTGCAAGTATGTACAATTATCCGCATACTATGGCTCTGAATGATGAGGAGACATTTCTATATGTCGTCGATAACGCAAATGTACGCATTATAAGATTTCAGGTTATTTAAAGATTTTTAACATGCATGCCAAAGATGACTTTAGTGATGACGAACAGAAATAAACTTCACCGACGTGTTCATGATTGTTAAACATAATTTTCGATATTGAAAGCTCATAGTCATAAAGAGGTCACTATTGCAAATGATTGATGAAAGTATCCAAATTCTGCGAAAGCGATGTTAATGAAGCATTTCCACCGGGCCTCTTCTTACACAGTATCTCATACAAATATGCTCGTATAGACTAATTATTCACTGAACCTTAACACAACAAGCGATTGAGAAAGATTCATCACTTTCACCGACACTGACTTGCTCGTTGTTGAATACTGCCCTCTACGATAAAAACACTGAGTAGTTTTTTGGAACATATCCGCTCTACTCGCAACGTAAACCAATAATAGGTCAAAGACGAAGAAATCGAAAACCTGCCGATTTATAGAACTAGCAATACTAATACGCAGAATGAAGAACAACGCATTTTATATGTGTGATCTGTTGTTATTTCATACTGTGAATAAGAAGTATTCTTTGTGAAGAGGTGTGATATTGCGAAACAAAAGAATCTATTTTAAACAGGAATAACGAGAAAATTTTGAAATTTACCAAATGAATTGAGACATTAAGACACTAAAGAGTGAAAATTCAACAAGCATAGAGAATATATTTTATCGATGCTAGTTTTTAGTGAAGCAACGTGCCGTGCAAAACACTATATCAACAGGTTGATGCCAACAAAGCGATGATAAACTCACGGCAAATACCATCATTTCTAATAAATCTCCCCACAACATTCATTGTTTCCGTACGTGATCTATAGTCGACGATCATGCATTTTATATGAGTGTTCCATTTTTGTCATCACACTAATTGACGGTCGAGATGCACCATGGAGACGGGAGATTCCATCAAAAACCATATTCTCATATAAATGCAAAGCTCAAAAGAGACATATCTAGGAACATCTTGAAATGTGTCGATGTGCAATTAAAAACGCTAAAGTACTTTTCAATGAACGTTCTGTTCTTAACGTGAATTGGTGGGAAAATGTTGTGACGCATTAAAATACATTTACCTCTAGTCTATATAACAAATTTCATAGATTATTCGTCTAAAACTGATCAGATACAGAGTAGTTGCATATCGTCCGTACACAAGTTTAGAAATAATTTCAGCAATCTTTTGATTTGATCAAAACTTGCAGATCGCAATCAGCTGATTCAGATACCATCAGAGATAGAAAAGTGACAAGCATATAGTTTGCATGCGAAATCATATGATAATTATTGGAAAGGAATGGAACAACGCGTTGTATTCGAGTTGGTAAAGCCCAATACTATATATTATCACTGAAGGTAAGGAATTTTTCATTCGTCACGGCACTATTGTAATGGTAACTTGATCATTTCAAGTATGAAGCGCTTGAGACACATTTATGATCGGCTCCGCTCTAGAAAAATCCTCACACGGGTCCTCACTGTTCCTGTTTAAATTTGTTTCAATACGCGACCACTTCCATATCATCTTTGAAGTGTTTTATTCCACTGTCGTATTTTTACCACTATTTAATACTTTGGCATACTGATGAATAAAAAGGTTTTTGAAGTATTCTGTTTCTAGAACTAAAAAAACATCGTTTCAAGTGACGACTCTTTAAACACGCTTGCTTTTCTCTCTACAATTAAATCATCACCTCCTACGGACACAAGAATACTAATGACTTACCACTTTCTAATTTTCTATCAAAGTGTGCCCAGCACAAACTTATCTCATAATCATTCCGAAAAAAACGACATTTCCATATCACTCTGCACAATAATAATTTACTCCCATCTTCTTGTGAGCAATCATGTCTTTGACACAACTTTATTTCTTCTCTCTCATCATCTCCTCTTGCTTCAATCTCAACGAATGCATCCGTTACTCGTCGATCAAATTAACTAATACTGGTTTTCAATTCCAACCGATTAACTACCAAGCTCAACTGCTATCAACATCCATCATTCAGACTGATCTCTTCAAAACGTGTTTCATGTTATGTAATAAAGACATTTCATGTCGAATCTATGATATCAATGCACTCCTACTCAACCAATGTCGACTCTTTCAAGGTGATATCAATCTACATGGTACTATCATCTCATCAGCATTGACCAACTCACGAGTTGGCTCCGTTCAGTATTCGACTAATCTCTATTCGAACTATGGTCAATCATGTGCTGCAAATGCAATCGAAAATCGATATCTTGTTTGTGGAAGTGATTTGATATGGACATGTCCACCGAACACATACTGGAATGGTTTCACATCGATGTGTTCAGCTCAATCACCAATACTTGGCTCATCTTGTCAACAGAACATGAGTATGTGTCGAGAAGATATCAACTATACATGTCTTCGCTTCAATCAATGTGGACGTATGTATATTGGCATACCTACTTCGAATATCCGAATCTTTGTTTTTTCAGCTCTTAAAGTACTGGAAGGTACGACGATAGTCGATAGCAATACAGTCGTTGCAAAAAGTGCAACTCTTGGTTTATCAGGTCCGAGGAGTATTCTGGTTAACAAAACAGTGGACAATGCCATCATTGTGGTTGATAGTGCTTATGGACAAGTGATAAGCTTTCACGACGACGTTTCCAATATCAGCAATGTCACACTCNTTAACATTGCTGGAGATGTGAATGGAAATTCTGGCAGTAGTGCAAGTATGTTGAATTATCCGTATAGTATGGGTCTGAATGATGAAGAGACATTTCTGTATGTCGTCGATAACGCAAATAAGCGCATTATAAGATTTCAGCTTATTTAACTGTTTTATTCTAGCGTATGCAGAAGACACTATCTCTTTTATTATTATTATTGATAAAACTTTTCGTTCTTGTATCACTCTAAAAGTTCGCAATAAACGCATAACGAATATTTGAATTTTAAGTTAATTTGAATCGTGGCCCAAAGAAATTCTCATATTTCTCCGGTATTTCAATCAGATCACTGATCCAGACGCACATCAGCGGTACTTCACTTCGCGTTTTTGCTTGAAATTGATAATAATCAGTTTGAGATAGTTTATCAGGTGTTTGAGTTAGAAGAAAAAGACGATCTAAATCATCCCGTCCTGATTCACTCACATCGGCCTTACTGAAAACTGCATCAAATAAATCGGGGTGGATTTGTGCACAAGCCTTGCGTAGTTCTTCGACACATTCTCCAATATCTTTATCAACCATAACCAAAGCAATTAATCGATTAACATTTGGCGGGATCGTGAACTGGCGATGGTCATCGATCGAACCATCAGAATGAAATGAGAGACCAAAAAAAGCTCTTTGTAAAGCACATTGAACACGTTGGGCTGTGAGTGGAGTTTGAAAGTCAATGCAAAGTTCATTAATACGATAAAATGTTTTCAAATTACCTAAAAATGAAAGAAGATTATCAAAGTCATTATCCGGTTAGCAATTGAGACCAACCAACAACATCCAGAACAATTGGCCATTTCGACAAATCTTTCAATTTTTCCATCTCACTCGGTATGACTTGTTTCATTTGAACATATTTCATCGGTGGAACTGATTTTTCATCACTTTTATTTGTGGACGCAGCATTTTTACTCGACATTTCGCTCACATCGATCGCATAAAATTTACTGTGAAAACTGAAATATTTACACACGCACAAGAAAGTATCGCACGTGTAACAATGATTCGGTTTCATTTATTCTCTTTTCTGCATAGCAACCGTAAAAACATATTTGTAATCAAACATTTACTGTGTCGGTTAAAGTTTAATGATGTGCCTGAAACTTTCCTCAGCAACAGTTGTTCATCTTTTCGAACATCTCTGTCGTCGGGTGAATAAACATCGATCTGATGTATCAAAAACAACAAGTTCTCATTTGGAATCGTTTTCAAAATCATAATGTTTCGTTGATTTATATTCTGAATTGCTGCTGAAGGTAGTTAAACTGTTAATTTCTCATCATTGAACGAAATAGATGTTCACGAGTATGATATATGCTTTTCTTGATCAAACGAGCTCATATGAATCATTAGCGCAACATTTTTGCTCTGGACTCTAGTTTTGTTCGTCACGAATATTAAGAGAAGAATGTCTTATAACCTCTTTCGTGTAGAACACTCCGGGTAAAATCGATTCTGAATTGTCATTTTACAGTATGAGAATATAGCTTACAATCTTACAATAGTCGTTAGTGACATCCGTGTTGGTACAGAAACATTGAAGACAGTTGTGGCAGTCAACATAGAATCAGAAAAATTGACTGCTATGGTAAACGTCGTGCTGCTATTAATATTGATCGCATTTCTTGTGCAGCACCTTCATGTTGTGAGTCAATGAAAGAAAATATTGATAATTTTTGCAATCCTAACTTCTATTTCTATATATTACTGCTAAATATGTCAAAAAATGCTTCCACAGACGATCAGGGTTAATTACTATGACAAATCGGAAAAAAGACGAATATGTTGTCATGTTAATCTGTAAAAATCATTCTCAATTTTAATGACCTTGGGCGCTTATGATTACTCTCTTTTGCCTACGTTTAAAACAGCTTTTCTTTATATTTTATATCATTAAAGAAGTATGGAAGAAGATTCAAAATCATATTCTGATGTTTGAACACTCGATAACAGATACGGAATCACTGTTATTCTATCTAGAATATTGCTTTACAGTTGTAAGTGACAATTTAAATCAAACTGTGTACTCAGAAAAAAAAAGAAAAAAAAACAAGCAATTTGTTCTTACTTCATCTGCCATTCATCTTGTATAATATTTGCTCAGATAATGTCTGAATATGTTGTCACATTCTGAACAAATGGGTTTTATTGGACAGGAATTGAGCGCTGTTTATTGCGATATCATGTTCGACTAAGCAGCTATGAATGGAATTGTTGCATGATGAATCGGCTACATAGTCTCTTCATCACATTTGCAGTTGAAAAAAGAGCGATCGACATCCGAACTAGGACGAAGAATTAATGATTAAAGGAACATGGAGACGAGAATAAATGTATAGAGAGAGATATACAATGTTAACATAGAGACCTAGGATTGTGCAATGCAATCATAGAAAATACATAGAATCATGTGTATAAGACCTAAATACGAAATACACATTGTATGGAGAAACACATATGTCAATATTATGAAAACTGTTTAGCCTGTAATTTTTTACTGAAGTAATAAGAGCACCTAATTGTTTTCTACCTTTGTCGCTTATTTTATTTCAATGATTCAGAATGTCGTGAACAGTTCGAATTTAGACAAAATCAAAAGTCAGGTATAGGTGTGGCCATGGTTTGAATTGTACCTGTCCAGAAAGGAATCGGTATACGAGCAGCGTTATTACCGAGTGGTGCTGAACTGGTAATGAGTTTTGACTCCCTGTAACGACGCCATGGTGGTGAGTTCCACGATGGTTTCCACACGGAAACTCTCGTAGCTGTACCTGCTGCACTATTATCGAAACGAATCTGAGTAGCGCCGTTGTTCCAAACGCTGACATCGATTAAGTTGCTGCTCGTGTTGGCATTGAGAAAAAGGCCATAGCCGACATTATCGTAGATAATGACATTGCTGATATTCGTAATGCAGTCATTGACATTAGCAATGCCGTTGTCGTTAGCCCAGAAACGACCAGTTCTAATCGTAGATGAGATTGTGTCATGTGAGGAGAAACCTTCATCGAGATTGTTATAGCCAGTTATATTCTCAAACACGAGGTCGGTACCGTAACCGTGAAGATTAAAACCATCGTTTAAGGCTCCAGTAGCGACTATGTTACGATAGACATGGTGAGAAGTACTAGTGATAGCCACAACGAACCAACGAGCAGAAATTTCCCATCCGTCAGTTGAAGTGCCAAGAGCCAGTTCGAAAGTTTTCCCATCTTCCCGTAGTTTGACAGGCCCAAGAAATTGACCGGTAGTTTGATTCTGAAGGATACGTCGACCGTCTTTTGCAATAACGACTGGATCCTCCTCGAATAGTTTCGGAAGTGTGTGGATCCAAGCTTTTCCATCGAAAGTAAATCGCATTAAATCAAAGCCAGTGATGGTCTCACCGTGGCCCTCAACTATAATTGGCGCGGCGGCAGTACCATTTTTTCTAATATTGAGAGTCTCGCGATATGGACCACTACCTATGGCCAAGATGATTGTGTCACCAGGACCGGCGGCAGAAGCTGCGGCAACAATTGTCTTGTACGTAGCGCCACCACGCTGATCAACGAACAGTTGACGACTAGAAAATAGAGTTGAACGTAAGCTTCTCTACAGTTATTTCGCTTTCTCACACCCAGATCCGAGAGTGTTAAAGCGCACTGCTACAATAAGAGGCTCAGAAAGATCGATGGTTTTTTACCGAGTCTGACTTGCTCGTTGTTGAATATCTCGTTCTACAATAACACATCATAGATTTTTGCACGATAAAAAACGCACAATGATTTCTAAGTACATACCCGCTCCACTCGCGACTCTGACCAATAATAGGTTGAGAACGAGATAATGGAAAACCTGCTGATACATGGAAATATAAATACTGATTGTCCGACGGAGAACAACACATTTTATATATGTGAATGCTCTGTAGTTATTCGATACGGCATACGCAAAGTATTTATTTTGAAGAGGCATAGAATTGAAAAACAAAGGATTATATTTTCGATAGGAATATCGACAAAATTAATTAAAACATTAAGACACCAGCGAGCAAAAACTAGATAAGTGTAGAGGATGTACTCTCTTGACACTTTTTTCTATTGAAACAAGATGTCGTACACAACATCATATCAACAGGTTGATACCAACCAAGCGACGATAAACTCACTGCAAATGCCATCATTGCCAATAAATCTCTCCACAACATTCACTGTTTCCGTACGTGACCTGTAGTCGACGACCGTACGTTCCATATGATTGTTCTATTTTTGTTATGATATCAATTGGCGGTCGATGCATAATGAAGACATGATATTCCGTCTTGTTCAGGTGCATTTTGCGACGCAACTGAAATCATTTAAGTTACTTTCTATTGAACATCATACGCAAACAGGTGCACCTATTTGAAAATGTTTTGGTAGATCAAAGTATGTTTGATTCTAGAGATTATTTGTGTCGTGTTTATGAACAGACAGTTATCTTCATATAAAACGATTCAATGTGGGTGATTAATTATATCTCACTATTTATAGATGTTAGGTAATAGTTTCAACAGCCTATAGATGCAGTAAAACCAAACTGTTTAGAACTATATGACATATTTCAACGTCATTCCATAAAGGATATATCAAATTTAATCGAATATAGAGCAAAGAGAGAAACACACTGTTTCCATGCGAAATTATATGCTAAACGATCAAAACAAATGGAACAACGCGTTACATTTTGACTTGGTACGTCACAGCAGTGCGTATCGCCACTAAAGGGAGAGATTCAGTTCATTCATGAGGATACGGTCGTGACAGTGAGTGAATTACTTTAATTACGACGTGTTTGTCCGGCATTAAAACCTTCTTTTAGCCTAGAAAAAAGGGTACACAAGTTCCTATTCTTATTCTTTCTCGAATATTTTGTTAAATTCAGGCACAACTTGAATATCAACTTCGAAAAACTTTATAAAATTAGTACATTTTTACTTTTATTTCATGATTACAGAAACTGACTACGTCACACATTTTTAAGATATTCTCTTTCTAAGACAATGGAGTATATAACATTTAGAATTAGAAAAAACATCATTTCAAGCGGCGACTCTTTAAACACGCTTGCTTTTCTCTCTACAATTAAATCATCACCTCCTACGGACACAAGAATACTAATGACTTACCACTTTCTAATTTTCTATCAAAGTGTGCCCAGCACAAACTTATCTCACAATCATTCCGAAAAAAACGACATTTCCATATCACTCTGCACAATAATAATTTACTCCCATCTTCTTGTGAGCAATCATGTCTTTGACACAACTTTATCTCTTCTCTCTCATTATTTTCTCTTGCTTCAATCTCAACGCATGCATCCGTCACTCGCTCATCAAATTAACTGATGCTGGTTTTCAATTCCAACCGATTAACTACCAAGCTCAACTCCTATCGATATCCATCATTCAGACTGATCTCTTCAAAACGTGTTTCATGTTATGTAATAATGACATTTCATGTCGAATCTATGATATCAATGCACTCCTACTCAACCAATGTCGACTCTTTCAAGGTGATATCAATCTACATGGTACTATCATCTCATCATCATTCACCAACTCACGAGTTCGCTCTGTTCAGCTCAATCACCAATACTTGGCTCACCTTGCCAACAGAACATGAGTATGTGTCGAGAAGATATCAACTATACATGTCTTCGCTTCAATCAATGTGGACGTATGTATATTGACATACCTACTTTGAATATCCGAATCTTTGTTTTTTCAGCTCTTAAAGTACTGGAAGGTACGACGATAGTCGATGGCAACACAGTCATTGCAAAAAGTGTAACTGTTGGTTTATCTGGTCCGACGAGTATTCTGGTTAACAAAACAGTGGACAATGCCATCATTGTGGTTGATAGTGCTTATGGACAAGTGATAAGCTTTCACGACGACGTTTCCAATATCAGCAATGTCACACTCGTGGCAAAAAACTGGACTGGTGGAAATATGTTCAACACACCGTACACTGCATTCATTCATTCAAGTCAAAAGTCAGTATTGTATGTTACTGATTATTATGGTCATTGTGTTTACAAGATCGATAATATGCAAGTTGTGTCTCCAGTACCAAACGTGGTTGCTGGCGTTAAAGGCTCTTTTGGTAATGGTACTAACAAGCTGTATTATCCATATAGGATAGCAGTTGATAGTGCGGGTAATCTGTATATTACTGATAGTCGAAATCATCGTGTGATGCGTTATGCTGCCAACGCCACTTCAGGAGTTATGATAGCCGGCACAGGTACATCTGGAAGTGATTCTCTTTCTCTGAATCGACCATATGGAATGTATTTGGATGAAGACAATTCTTATATCTATGTGGTTGATGCATTGAATAGTCGTATTCAACGTTTTTCCTTGTCTGGTGGATCGCCAAATAATGGCACAACTGTGGCTGGCGGAAATGGCAATGGATTAGACAACAATCAGCTCTATCTTCCTTTTGATATCTGCTTAACGAAAAACAAGAGAACAATGTACATTGCGGATACTGGAAATAACCGAATCGTGCGTTGGAATATCGGTGAGGCATCTGGTGTTAATATCGCTGGAGATGTGAATGGAAATTCGGGCAGTAGTGCAAGTATGTTTGATCAGCCATACAGCGTAGCTCTGAATGATAACGAAACATTTTTGTATGTGGCCGATAAAACGAACAGTCGTATTATAAGATTTGAACTTATCTAAACATATCTCTTCATATATGAACTTTTATGTTCTAAACTAAAAATCATGGCAAAATTTATTTACACAAATAAACCTCGTTGCTGTTGTGGCCTCATCAACATTTCAATTGCTACTCAATATTGAAAGTTCGTAGTTAGTGGAACATATTGAATTGATTTAGAGAGGTTAATTTTCCATCCGATCTGTACAAATATCAAAAAAGTGAATCGAAAAATTTCAGTCTTCTGTATTCGAAAGCTTCTCTAAAGATATTCGATGAATATGTAGAAAATCATGCACTTTATTCGAATAAAATCGAAGCGGAAAGCAGGAAATTGTATAGGTTTATATTCGATGTTCAATTGATTGAAAAGCATTGTGTTTGATAAAGATTAGTTAAACGTCCAACTACTAACCGATTAGATTGCCAATTGTTATTCGAATCGAGATAAAAGCAACTTGATTGATAAAGTCGAATCTCATAATCCGATGAAAACTTTCTCGGTTGATCTACGATTGGAGCAACTGTTTTGTTAGAACAATATTCATTCATTTCTTCGAATACTAATTCACGAATGCCATACACGATTGAATGATGATTCGACGTTTGTCGATTGTCGATAAAATGAAGATACGTTTGATCAGATGTGAAATCTGAAGGACATAAGAAAGTCCAATTTTGTATTGGATTCATTTGAGGTTTATCGTCGAATTGGTGAATCAAGAAATAGGAAATGTTTGGATTTAGGGGATGAATTTCGAAATGAATGGAAAATGTTTGGTTTCCATTCGTTTTTGTTAGGTTATATGAATAGAAATGAAATAAAAAGTTTTTCTCATTCATTATCGTCACATTTTGATAAAACATTGGTGGAACGATCCAATTTGGATCTCGCGGAATGACAAATTCCATTCGATTAGCTTGAATATCATGTTGATCCTCATCAAAAACAGAGAAAGAAAATGATCGAGATAGATTCGTGAATAACTGCGTAGAATTCCCATACGGAGCCAATGGTTGTGTCATCATTCGGATCAGAACCGTCGAATTTACTGAAAAATCAGCTTTACAATGATCGGAAACAAATGAAGATGATGTTTTCTTTAATAGAAATGATATCGATGATGTATTGATGCTTAAGCATTGATTCAAATGCAAATGGATATCCAACACTGATGTTATCATCGAAAGAATCTCGTTAATTTCACGCGTTACTTCATTCGCCTATGAAAGGGTTCGTGTTGAGATGAACAGGGAAGTGCAGTTCGTCTTACCAGTTGCTTTTGATATTCGAAGTTTGAATGATGAAGATCGTGTTCTCCTAAAATATCGAATTAATTCGTTTTGAGGTAAAACGCTTTTACCTGTGAAAGAAAAGTCTTCGAGATCAAACTGAAGAACTTGCATACGCTGCTGCAAAGGACCGTTGATACCCTAAAATCGCTGTGAGAGCTTCATTATGCGCAATAAACCAACTTACAGTATGAATATGTGTGATGGACTCGAGAATGTGCATTGCGATGAAATGAGTGTCTTCGTATGCGAGTTTATTTTTATAAGATTGAAGAAAAAAAGATAATTGTGAAGATTTGTTCAGTGCATTGATCTAGAAAGTCGATTTGAAATGAATGCAGAAGAAAAAAAAATCGATTTTACCAAGGTTTTTCGGGTTAATTGATTTGTTGTTTCGGTTAAGATTGAAATCATTGACGATTGAAGTTTCACATCGTTGAATGTTGTCAACGACAAATTACTGATCATCATCATTAATTCCTCACGAATGCTTGCATGTTGATTGATTTTTCATTAAATTCGATAGATCGGAATGAAATGGTGTCACGAAGATTTCATCCACAATGTTACGACTAATTTCATTTAGAAGTTCAGATAGTAGGATAATATTTGACTCAATGTTCGATTTTTCCTCAAATAGAACACCAATTAACGAAGAATTCGAAGTGATTGTCACTGATGTGAGATCAACTTCAGTGACACAACCAAATGTATCCCGAATTTGAGCAAGTAGATCAGTGTTCGTAGGTAATCGAAGGGAAATGACTGAGTTTGTTGACGAAGTCAGCAACAGTTGTCTTTGGGAATAGATTTTCCGACCTGACGAGAAAACCTTACCGTAGATTGAAATTTCTTTGATTCCATCTTCATCGAATCAATTCGAGCAATTTATTGTAAACAAAGTCAAAACTGTGCCGTGTTTTGGATCGATCGAACAAAAGCCATCGCGCGGTCCATCATTGAATTCTACATCGAATGTACTTCGGCTTATTCCTGATTGAAATCCATAAATAACTTCAAAACGCCAATATTGATCGATCAGAACATCTTTCATCACGAGTAAATTTGTCGTGTTTATACCTGAAAATCAAACATTGCGGGATAGGAAATATTTTCCAAGATGATTTACCGAAGAAAGATGATGTTGATAGTGGAGTAAACAAATCCCATTGAGTAGTCGTATTTGATGTATTCATCGTTCTTCGATAGACGTTCCAAGTGCTATTCATTGCCTGCGAACAATTATTTAAACAAAACGAGGAAAGTGAAAATTGTGTATGACGATTGACGTAGTAAAATTCGTCGTTTAATGCACACATTGTTGTAATGAGACACCTAAAAGATGTATGAAGACAATTTTCATTATAAACAAGAACATACTGAATAATGATGACAGGCGACTGAAGATTTTCAACTTGGACAATTAAATAACCAAATGACTGTAGGGAAAAATTCCGACGATGAAGCATTTGAACCATAAATTGATAAGTTTGATTCAGCTGCAATGCGTTATGAAAAATCGTTACAGACGATTGATTTGCATCGTTGTAAATCCATTCACCCAGTAAACAGGCTTGATTTGCGCTTTCGAAGGTTTCGAATTCTTGAAGGTTTGATGAATAAATTCGACAGTAATATTCATAATACCAATCCTAAACAGAGCGACTATCAAAGGGAATTTTCTGCAGAAAACTTACGTATTGATTGAATTGAACTGAGTTTTGGTCGTAAGAATATTTACCAGGATTAAGAATAAGATTTTCTCCATAATTATGTCTCGCGATGCGTGTTTCATAGGAAACAAGATTAGTGATGATATTTGGTGGAGTGATTTCAATATCAATGAATGATGAAGATTCTATCGTAGGGCAATTAGTCAATGTTACTGTTAATTTGAACCGATAGAGACCATATGAAAGAGATCGAGAAGGAACATGAAAATTAGTGTTTGTTTGATTGGAACATATTGATGAACAGTTAAGAATCCACCACCGGCTTGAGAATGGTTCAGATAGACCATCTTGAAGATCAATTTTAGAACTAATGTGAAAACCTTGGTTGTGTCGAAATCTTAATCTCTCTCCGAATGGAATAAACTTGATCATGGGTAAATTGCGTTCTTCGAAAGAAATCAGAATATTTAATAAATTATTCGAAGCACTTAGAATTATCATATATGTATGTATGCTATTTTCTATTAGTTGTAACATTTTCATTTATACCTACCGTCAGAGCTAGGCTCAATGCGGAATCTCTGAACACGACGATTTAATTCATCAGCAACGTATAAGTTTCCAATACTATCGAATTGAAGAGAATATGCAAAGTTAAGTTGGTTTGATGTCCATCCTCCTATCTTTGTGCAACCAGCAATGCACTCAAAGTCACCATCTCCTACTCGAATTATACGATTATTCTTATTATCAGCTATGTACAAAAACCCATTTCCATCCAATACCACATCCGTGGGCTTCTTTAATAGTAAGCCATTAGGAATGTTCTTTCCAGCAACAATAGTTCCATTCCGTTCTCCTCGTCGAAATACCTGGATTCGATCGTTCTCTTGGTCACTCACATGTAAATTAAAATTGATATCCACATATATTCCCCAAGGATACTGAAGCTCATGTAATTGTGATCCTGCTGATCCTGTTCCTGCTATTGTCACCGCTGAACGATTGTTATCAGAAAGTGATGCTGTCACTACTCGATGTTCTCTATGTAGAGAACAGTAGAGAGTATTCCGAATGTCTACAAAAAGACCATAGCAGTTTCCTGAAAACATCGTCACAAATTGACTGGTGTTTGAGTTTGATGAAAACTTGTCGATGCGACCTGTTTGGGTACCATTTTGAAAATAAATGTCGCCATTCAGTGTCACAAATAAACCAGTGTATNTTTGGATTTAGGGGATGAATTTCGAAATGAATGGAAAATGTTTGGTTTCCATTCGTTTTTGTTAGGTTATATGAATAGAAATGAAATAAAAAGTTTTTCTCATTCATTATTGTCACATTTTGATAAAACATTGGTGGAACGATCCAATTTGGATCTCGCGGAATGACAAATTCCATTCGATTTGCTTGAATATCATGTTGATTCTCATCAAAAACAGAGAAAGAAAATGATCGAGATAGATTTGTGAATAACTGCGTAGAATTCCCATACGGAGCCAATGGTTGTGTCATCATTCGGATCAGAACCGTCGAATTTACTGAAAAATCAGCTTTACAATGATCGGAAACGAATGAAGATGATGCTTTCTTTAATAGAAATGATATCGATGATGTATTGATGCTTAAGCATTGATTCAAATGCAAATGGATATCCAACACTGATGTTATCATCGAAAGAATCTCGTTAATTTCACGCGTTACTTCATTCGCCTATAAAAGGGTTCGTGTGTGAGATGAACAGGGAAGTGCAGTTTGTCTTACCAGTTGCTTTTGATATTCGAAGTTTGAATGATGAAGATCGTGTTCTCCTAAAATATCGAATTAATTCGTTTTGAGGTAAAACGCTTGTACCTGTGAAAGAAAAGTCTTCGAGATCAAACTGAAGAACTTGCATACGCTGCTGCAAAGGACCGTTGATACCCTAAAATCGCTGTGAGAGCTTCATTATGCGCAATAAGCCAACTTACAGTATGAATATTTGTGACGGACTCGAGAATGTGCATTGCGATGAAATGAGTGTCTTCGTATGCGAGTTTATTTTTATAAGATTGAAGAAAAAAAGATAATTGTGAAGATTTGTTCAGTGCATTGATCTAGAAAGTCGATTTGAAATGAATGCAGAAGAAGAAAAAAATCGATTTTACCAAGGTTTTTCGGGTTAATTGATTTGTTGTTTCGGTTAAGATTGAAATCATTGACGATTGAAGTTTCACATCGTTGAATGTTGTCAACGACAAATTACTGATTATCATCATTAATTCCTCGCGAATATTTGCATGCTGATTCAATGTTGTTATATTGAAGACATGTGATTGATTTTTCATTAAATTCGATAGATCGGGATGAAATGGTGTCACGGAGATTTCATCCACAGTGTTACGACTAATTTCATTAAGAAGTTCAGATAGTGGAATGATATTTGACTCAATGTTCGATTTTTCCTCAAATAGAGCACCAATTAACGAAGAATTCGAAGTGATTGTCACTGGTGTGAGATCAACTTCAGTGATACAACCAAATGTATCCCGAATTTGAACAAGTAGATCGACGTTCGTAGGTAATCGAAGGGAAATGATTGAGTTTGTTGACGAAGTAAGCAACATTCGCCTTTGGGAATATATTTTCCGACCTGACGAGAAAACTTTACCATAGACTGAAATGTCTTTGATTCCATCTTCATCGAACCAATTCGAGCAATTTATTGTGAACAAAGNAACCAGTAATGCACTCAAAGTCCCCATCTCCTACTCGAATTATACGATTGTTCTTATTATCAGCTATGTACAAAAACCCATTTCCATCCAATACCACATCCGTGGGGTTCTTTAATAGTAAGCCATTAGGAATGTTCTTTCCAGCAACAGTAGTTCCACTGCGTTCTCCTCGTCGAAATAACTGAATTCGATCGTTTCCGTGCTCAGCCACATAAAGACTAAAACCGATATCCACAAATATTCCCCAAGGATACCAAAGTTGATCTGATTGTGGTCCTGCCGAACTTGTTCCTGCTATCGTCACTGCTGAACGATTGTTATCCGAAAGTGATGCTGTCACTACTCGATGTTCTCCATGTAGAGAACAGTAAAGAGTATTCCGAATGTCTACAAAAAGACTATAGCAGTTTCCTGAAAACATCGTCACAAATTGACTGGTGTTTGAGTTTGATGAAAACTTGTCGATGCGACCTGTTTGGATACCGTTCTGGAAAAAGATGTCGCCAATCAGTGTCACAAATAAACCAGTGTATTCGAACAAAGTAGCAGACAGTTCACGTGATGGATAAGTAGTGTGATCGTGCCAGATGAGAATTCGACTGCTGACATAGTCAACTAGATAAAGAGTGTCATTTGAATCGATGAAAAAGCCGCGCACAAATGAACGAGAGGTAGTTTTATCGATGAAAGTCACACCACATTGACTCCATGTTGCATTGGAGTCGAGATTCGGTTGATTGTATGGAACTACAGAAAAAATACAGAATGCAGATGAGTAGAAATATTTACCGTCAGAAACTATTGTCTATAAAAGCGATCCCATTTTGTAACCATTGGACAACTCACCTGGATAGTTGAGAAGTTCAAACTTTTGTACTCTGTTGTTTAGCCACTCGCTCACATAGAGTGACCCAAAACTATCGAATGCTAATGAGTGAGGCTGGTGGAGTTGATTTGGTCCAGTTCCTGTTGTCCCCGAACATGCGACGATACATGTTCCATAGGATGAGTGAGGAGCCCATCGGGTGATCCGCGAGCCAATCGCTTCAGTGATATACATGAATTCATCCTCATCAACAATCACATCCGTGGGTGAATTCACTTGTGTTAAACTGTAACCAGATGTTCCATCACCAGCCACACGGATGCCAGATGACGCTCCTGCGAGCCATTTCATGATTTGATTATTACTGTGATCTGCAACATAGATGGTACCGTTGTCGCTCACGAATATTCCATATGGCCAATTGAATTGTTCATTAGCAGATCCTGCAGTCCTACTACCAGCAATTCTGGTACCATTTGTAGAATTTGGTCGAAAAACAAACACACCATGATTGCCCCTGAACGTGACATAAATATTTTCATATGAGTCAACATAAAGATAGAGTGGTTGTCCTAGACTGGTTGTGTTATACGCTACAGTGAGATTTGAACCATCCAGTCTCATATTTTGTATTCTGTTGTTGAATTCGTCTGTGATGTAGAGTGATGAATTGAAAACGAAAACATCAATAGGCTTGTTGAAACGGCCGAGCGCAGAACCTTGTTTAGAGCCGATAGCAAAGGTGCTGGTAGTCCGAGAAAGATCAATAACAACGACTCGATGATTGAATTGATCAGAAATATAAAGGATATCGTTGTCTGTAATTGATATACCGACGGGCCTATCAAGTTCTGAGAGTGAGGACCCTTTTTTTCCAGATGCATTTCCTGCCACTGTGGTGCCATTTTGATTCCAATATAATTCAGATGATAACTTTATTTTGCCTGGAAAAGGATTTTCAGAAAAATATTCACTTTGTGCTTAACAAATAGGAGTTAAAATTCGTTTCTAATTAACCAGACAAAGCTGAGTGCAAAGAGAAAGAAACAAATGTCACTCAAACAACATTTCGACGTTGAAGTAGTAACATAGATAATAATGCTGGACTTAAAACTGTTTTTTTTTGAATAAAAAAGTATCAGCTGAAAACATGACTTCTCTTTATACTTTTCTGATCTACACAGTCTTTAAAATCACAATCGAAAATCTTCTTTTAAAAACTTGTTTTCGAGAGAAGAAATAAAACTATCTTTTCTACACCATTCATTTTCAAAGGAAATCCGTTAAAACTAGGAGAAGAATCCTGAGGTTGATAATTACTTTCAGATCTAACATGGATGCACAAAATGGTCAAGTACAGAGCGATGTAGTGGTGCGATTTCATTTGAAACTTTGAATAACTATTAAAGAATGACATGGGAAAACAAATCAGTAAAAATAAATGTTGTCTGGAGTCGTGATTACAAGACTAGAACGTGTTTTTTTACAATTTTCTTGGGTTTAACGGCATTTTGTTTCCAATGTCAGGTTTTCAATCGAAATTTAAAGCAACAATCAATCGAAACAGATTTTGTCGATCTTGAACATTCCGAACGAAAATTCAATTATTTGATCTCGTTACTGAACTTTAAAAAACTTGATACAAAGAAAGTAAATTAATTATGATTTCTCCGATTGACGTCAATTGATATTTGATACTGTATACTTTGGAAGTATTCTCTGTTATTTGCCTTTGTTGCCGACTGTTTAAATCAATATAGAGACATGTATGTGATTAAAACACAAAAAAATTGTTAAAATATTATCAAAATAGAGAGTGTGGATATCGAATGACAAGGAAATAGAAAGGAAAAAGCCTTGTTAAGGTTGTCCAATTCTGATGTGATTTCAATCCACGAAATATCGAGTAAATAATAAAAGTTTTTATTCTCGAAAAACGTTTTCTATTGAAATGATCTGAATGAACATCAGAAAGACAACATTGTTCCAAGTTTTTCTCATACACAGTGTTCTATATAAATCTGTTCGTCAAGACAATCTTTAGAAGCTTTGTCATTGGCATCAAATCAATGTCATCTCCAATCACGTTTCGAATATGAATGTAAACTGATCAAGAGCATCCTTTTCTGGATGTGAGAATTCCATTAGTGTAATAATCTGTTGATGATATCACACGCCAAACTTCACTTTTTTTATCAGATCGATTTCTTTTCAGGAAGAGAAAACAATCAAATATTTATTTTATGGCAGAGAATGGAGAACGGTAATTCAATCGAACTATTCTATACTATTCAGAAGCGTGATAATTAATTGGAAAAAGAGATTATTTGTCAAAGTATGACATATGTCTGGACGTCAATATATATTTTGTTTCTCTAAAAGAAAAGTCTATAGCGAATGTCATGCCTTGAATGAGTTAGATTATTTTGTGATCATCAATTTTATCTTAGACAAAAAAAACATTATGGAATCATGAAGAGAATCTGAATAAGATTCCAGTACAAGATATGAATATAAATCTGTGTGGATTTGTAGAACGATGTTGGAAAATTGCAGAAGGAGAGAATGTCAATATTGAATAACAGACGGAAAGACATAGAAAAGGAATTATATGAGAAAAACATTGTGTTGCATATGTTCTAAATCGTTAATAGGTGACAGAAAAGTCATTTATCCGTGAGATTTCCTGAATGGCGATGAAAATTAATTTTCTAATATGTGTAATAATGATAACGATGGTCAAAGAAATATCTAGTAAGTGCTTACAGAATTTTCATGTTGTAAAATGTTTCATCAGACAAATCGAACAATAAAAAAGATTCGGTATACTCTTTTATGATGTAACACCAGCTATCATACATATATTCTTCAATAGCTCTCACAACGATAATATACAACTTCTGATTTCCTTCAAAATTGACAGAAGCAACTGAGATAATATCTCACGTACTATACTTTTCGTCGCCTGAGTGCATAAAGGGCGTATTTGCGACATTTACAACTGACAAGTTTCTACTTCCTTGGCAAAGATAGGAGTTAGTCCTTGGGCTGTGCTATAGAATGTATTCTATTTTTACTTAACGATGTATCAATTCAGCAAAAGAGTGAATGCTCATATTGGAGATGGTAGTATTATTATTCTCTCATCATTTTTAATGAAAATCAAACTATCATCTCAACTATCGTGGAATCAAAATGGCACCACAGTGGCAGGAAATGCATCTGGAATATCAGGATCATCACTCTCAGAACTTAATCGTCCCGTCGGTATATCAATTACAGACAACGATATTCTTTATATTTCTGATCAATTCAATCATCGAGTCGTTGTTATTGATCTTTCCCGAACTACCAACACCTTTGCTATCGGTTCTGAACAAGGTTCTGCGCTCGGCCGTTTCAAGCAGCCTATTGATGTTTTCGTTTTCAATTCATCACTCTACGTCACAGACGAACACAATAACAGAATACAAAATATGAGACTGGATGGTTCAAATCTCACTACGGCGTATAACACAACCAGTCTAGGACAACCACTCTATCTTTATATTGATTCTTATGAGAATGTTTATGTCACGTCCAGGACCACTCATAGTGTATTTGTTTTTCGACCAAATTCTACAAATGGTACCAGAGTTGCTGGAAATGGGACTCAAGGATCTACTAATGAACAACTCGATTGGCCATATGGAATATTTGTGAGTGACAACGGTACCATCTATGTTGCAGATCGCAATAATCATCGAATCATGAAATGGCTCGCAGGAGCGTCATCTGGCATCCGTGTGGCTGGTGATGGAACATTTGGTTACAATTTAACACAAGTGAATTCACCCACGAATGTGATTGTTGATGAGGATGAATTCATCTATATCACTGAAGCGATTGGCTCGCGGATCACCCGATGGGCTCCTAACTCATCATATGGAACATGCATCGTTGCATGTTCGGGAACAACAGGAACTGGACCAAATCAACTCAACCAGCCTCACTCGTTAGGATTCGATAGTTTTGGTTCACTCTATGTGAGCGAGTGGTCAAACAATAGAGTACAAAAGTTTGAACTTCTCAACTATCCAGGTGAGTTGTCCAATAGTTACAAAATGGGATCGCTTTTATAGACAATAGTTTCTGACGGTAAATATTTCTACTCATCTGCATTCTGTATTTTTGCTCTAGTTCCATACAATCAACCGAATCTCGACTCCAATGCAACATGGAGTCAATGTGGTGTGACTTTCATCGATAAAACTACCTTTCGCTCATTTGCACGCGCCTTTTTCATCGATTCAAATAACACTCTTTATTTAGTTGACTATGTCAGCAGTCGAATTCTCATCTGGCACGATCACATTACTTATCCATCACGTGAACTGTCTGCTACTTTGTTCGAATACACTGGTTTATTTGTGACACTCAATGGCGACATTTTTTTCCAGAATGGTAACCAAACAGGTCGCATCGACAAGTTTTCATCAAACTCAAACATCAGTCAACTTGTGACGATGTTTTCAGGAAACTGCTATAGTCTTTTTGTAGACATTCGAGACACTCTCTACTGTTCTCTACATGAAGAACATCGAGTAGTGACAGCATCACTCTCTGATAACAATCGTTCAGCGGTGACAATAGCAGGAACAAGTTCAGGAGGACCACAATCAGATCAACTTTGGTATCCTTGGGGAATATTTGTGGATATCAGTTTTAGTCTTTATGTGGCTGACGAGGTAAACGATCGAATTCAACTATTTCGACGAGGAGAACGCAGTGGAACTACTGTTGCTGGAAAGAACATTCCTAATGGTTTGACGTTGAATAAGCCGACGGATGTGGTATTGGATGGAAATGGGTTTTTGTACATAGCTGATAATAAGAACAATCGTATAATTCGAATAGGAGATGGTGACTTTGAGTGCATTACTGGTTGTGCAAAGATAGGAGAATCGGCATCAAACCAACTTAACCTTGCATATTCTCTTCGACTAGACAGTGTGGGAAACCTGTATGTTGCTGACGAAGCAAATCGTCGCATCCAACAATTCAGTGTGTCAAGTAATTCATGTCGTAAGTGTCTTCATACTTTTCAGCTATCTCAATTAGTATTTTGATAACTGCCCATCGTTATTCTTTTACAGAAACATCTTCTTTCGTCACGACTGCATTGACATCGACACATCCAGGTATGTCATGAGAACTCCTTATTCCTCCACATCAATCCTTTCCCTTTTAGATAATTCAACATCATTGTTCTGGAATGCACATTCATGTGGTATTAATACCTCATACATTGGTTCATATTGTAACATCTCTGGTAACATTTGCCATGTACAAAATCCCTGTCTCCATACTGGCAATTGCACTAGTCTGAATAACAATCAAGACTATTATTGTTCGTGTCCACTTGGTTTCTCTGGCAAACGGTGTCAAGTTGACGAACGTCCTTGTAAGCCGAGCAGATGTCTCAACAATGGTGAATTCTCTTCTTCCTCTGAATAGATCAAAAAGAGTTTTGTATTTGTAGGCATTTGTAATACGACATCGACCTCCACCTTCAACTGCACATGTTCATCTGGTTACGAAGGAACGAGATGTGAAACTAAGATTAACTATTGTTGGAGTGTGACATGCGAAAATAGAGGTGTTTGTCGTCCATTGTTGGGAGGATATAGATGTGAATGTCTTAGTGGAACAGAGGGTGAACATTGTGAACAAGTAACAAGAAAGCTTTTGATTTACCGGATTATGTCAAAATCTTTTGCTTTCATTGCGATCGTGGCAATGGGAAGTGTCGCACTGTTTGTGATCGTGATGGATGTGCTGAAGTACTTTTTTGGTGTTAACATAGCTCTACCACATGGACGAACAAAACGACGCACCCCATTGAATCAGCGTTTCGTTTATGTAAATGCAATACCTGCTCGAACTAAAGAAACACTTTAAGCGATAGTAGGAGAAGAAGACGAAGGAAAGGATGTGCTTACATATGGGCGAGTGAAATGGTGGACAATATTGAAAAAAATATTTTGGAAGATTGTAAATAATATATTGAAGAGATGGCTGGCATCTGAAAAGCTTGTTGAAACAGAAATTAGCTCTATACAGATAACGATTTAGGTAGCGAAGAATAAACTCGACATATCGGAGTTGTGTTTGTTCCTCCACGTGTATGAAACAATACTAAGAATATGCAAAACAGAAAGGTTTGTCTTATTAATAACAACAATCGGTTTTTGCTCACAGTCAGAATGTGCATTGTTTGCTTGTAGCTTAACGGAATAGCACGCATACACTAATTATTGAGCCTGTTAAAGGTAGAACATTATATAAATCTTACGAATACACTATTCATTAGAGAAAGGGAAGTGCAAATAATTACCGCTAATGTAAGAGCGGCTAAGTATATATGTTCTATGATTTGTTTTTGTTGCATAGAAACATTTTACAAATGGTAACAGCGCCGATTGAATTTAAAATATTCGTACTAAATAAGAAACATGCGGAATTGTTGATTGCTCGTATACTCAGGATCGGCAATCGCGTCAGCCAATCTCAATGGTGAAAAATGATCAAACTGCTTATTTTCGTTGCCATATGTATGCAATTGAGTTCATGCCGATCCAAAGTATGAGGAACTATGCCTACCGGAGGTTTCTTATCGTATATTTGTCTCATTATATAGAATCGATAGCTATGGGATATGATTGATGTTATTCGACGCGACATCATTTTGCTTTGAAACAGTCCTATGGATCGCCTAGTGATTTCAAACGATTTATTGACGAGTGTCATAGGCGTGGAATTCGCGTGATTTTAGATGGAGTGTATACATTCTCTAATAAGGACTATCCGTTGCTGCAAATAGATAAGAACTATTGGGTAAGTATACAACAAAAACTAACCTGCACTTATGAACGGCTACTTATACGATTTTCAGTATGATACTAATCGCCACAACCCAGATGGTAAGGTCTCTGAAATTGTCATGTCTGTTTAATTCTCTATATTTCGCACTGAAAGATCCACATTACTGACCACCAGAATTCAATTATGAATATGACGGCGAGCAATTGAAGATGAAACCAAATTGTGAAATGATTTGGATGGGAACGGAACTGGGTGATGCGAAAGATGTGACAAGTAAGACAAAAAGACACATATTATTTTCAATTTTTCGATTCGTTAAGTAGGTGATCAACATCAAAAAGAATTGAAAACGAATTGACACGTATTAGATGCTCCTGAATCACCTTACCGTACTCTGCTTAACATTTTCAAAAAAGCGATTAAACTGCGACGTCAACTGGCAGCATTACGGAGTGATAGTTTAGACTTTTTCTATGAAAACTATGGTGATCGAGTTCTGGCGTATAGTCGGCGATCGAACTAGAACGATTTAACGATTATTATTGCTCACTTTTCCGCGAATAATAGAGATGGATACACGTTAAAGAATGTTCCTATGCTAAGGAAAGTGCACAGTTCACTAATGGAATGAACGAAAGTGAAAGTATTAATACAAAAATAATAATAATTCATCGACACAGTCCCTTCGACTGATTCTAATTGAATAACAAGAAGCTAAAATTTTTTTATGCGTCCATTAATTAAATCAGATGAGAAAATTGCGACTTTTAAAATAAAAGTCTGTCGGAGACGGTTTCATGTGTATTCATTAAATCATGTAGAATGCATTTTAAGTATAAATGAATATGTGAAAGAGAAGAGATCACATTAAAAGAGTATTCATAATGCCGGACTCTTTCTTTCCCATGAACATTGAAACAAACATTTTCTCTGGAGGATAACAACAGTAGATTGAATTAACGAAAAATTCTTTTCTTACCATTTCATTCTTTAGTCAAAATACCCTTCGGGACAATGAGTGTTGAACTATATACCAAAGTCTCTCGCATAATCAGTTTGTTTTCTGTAACCGTACTCTTATCTCTCATATATTCATTCTTAATCTTACTCATTCCTCTTTATACACATCACTTTGTCTTATTGACTACACTATCTTCACTCTAAATTCACACTCACACCCACCCTCTAAGATTTTGGATTTATCTGTAGTTCAATGGCATTGTTCATTTTAGAAAATAAAATCGAAAAAAAGCTTTTTCCTTCACGACGTAATGTACACAGAGAAACTGAATTTTCAGAATCATGTGTGATTATTATTGTGTTGCGCCAGTCGATGCCATTCAGCCCACTCTTCAGAACTTAAATCATCGGGTTCGTTTTCAGGTCCTTCTATCCATTTCAATCGTTGTCCGATCTCTAGTAGTATAAAAAGTAATATCATAATTCCATAGCCAACGGTGAATCGCCATCCATCATCATTCTTTTGATATAAAACACCGACGTTCGATGAATGAATTAAGCCGAAAAAAGCGAGAAGTCCTGCTAATAATGACCATACAGCGCCTCGAATAAACTTTCGATNTTATTTACCGGATTATGTCAAAATCTTTTGCTTTCATTGCGATCGTTGCAATGGGAAGTGTCGCACTGTTTGTGATCGTGATGGATGTGCTAAAATACTTTTTTGGTATTGACGTCACACGGCGTGAAAGGGAAGAAATTCGACGAAAGCGTGGAGAAAAACGACGTAAACCATTGATTGAACGATTCGTTTATGTAAATGCAATACCTGCTCGGACTGAACGAACACTTGTGACAATAAAAGAGGAAGAAGGGGAACGTGCTTAGATATGAAAGGACGAAGTGGTGAATTGCGTTGAGAAAATAAATGTTTATGCCTCAAATGAGACCGTCAAAAGTCTTCGATGTGCAATTGTATCAGAATGGCCTTGTTGGGAATATATCCTGATCGAAGTGTACGACAGCGTGTGTTTCTTTCATCCGAAGTATAAAGGTATAGCTTATTGAAGAATAGTAGTGTTCGAAAGCTCAGGAGACAAATGATGAAATAATTTCAATTTTGATTGTTTAAAACTTTTGTATAGGAAGTAGAAATATCAGACTGAAATCGTTTTTTGCCCATATTTCCATTCCAGTGGAATATGGAAAAAGAAAACACTGTCGGCGACATTGAACGTATATGACGTACTTAATTTATTCTCTTAGTTTGTTGACAATGATTGTCAATACCATCGGTAAATAACACGGAACAAAAGAAGCGGTGAAAAATAAACTTCATCGGTCGCTGCAATTTAACAACTGAAACGTTTTTTTTTTCGTCAATTGCAAATATTCCGAACGAGAGAATTAAATGATTTCTATGCGTAATATTCTTTGTGTGTAATGCTTCCCTGACAAGGAATGATTGACAAATTGAAGTTTGGCTTTGTTCTTTAAAGAAAACGATCGACATAGTAACGTCATTATAACTCTTTTTTTGCCTGATAATATTTAATGCTATTGAAGATCTGTTGCCTAAATTTGACAAATTCCATGTGCAAATGATCTTAGCGTACACTTCGACTAGTTCATATTGGATGATGCTATAGAGAAACTTTTCCATTATCACAGATAAAGAAAATGCCGAGACAAAATAGTCAACGCAAAGGAAAAGGTTTTAATAAATTATCATTTGGTTACTTTTAGATCGTGACTATATAATGCAAGAACAATTTTTCTAGCGCTTATCGAATCACAATGGGAAATTTTCCCCTGCTGTGCCTAGTTCTGACGCTACTCGTGAAAACAATTTCAAGTAAGTACGCTAGATTCTTCGTTCGAAAACAATTTTGCAAATTCAAAAAACGTTACATGAGCCACTTAAACTTATATAAGTACATCACTCCAGAAAACTGATCATCATCACCGCGTAGAATGCATTCTATTCATATTTTTAGTGAAAATCAAACTATCATCTCAACTATCGTGGAATCAAAATGGCACCACAGTGGCAGGAAATGCATCTGGAATACCAGGATCATCACTCTCAGAACTTAATGGTCCCGTCGGTATATCAATTACAGACAACGATATCCTTTATATTTCTGATCAATCCAACTATCGAATCGTTGTTGTTGATCTTTCTCGAACTACCAACAGCTTTGCTATCGGCTCTGGTCAAAGTCATGCAGCCGTTCAAGCTATCTACCCTATTGATGTTTTCGTTTTCAATTCATCACTCTACATCACAGACGAATTCAACAACAGAATACAAAATATGAGACTGGATGGTTCAAATCTCACTACGGCGTATAACACAATCAGTCTAGGACAACCGTTCTATCTTTATATTGATTCTTATGAGAATATTTATGTCACGTCCAGCAACAATCATAGTGTGTTTGTTTTTCCACATAATTCTACAAATGGCACCAGAGTTGCTGGTAATGGGACTCGAGGATCTACTAATGAACAACTCGATTGGCCATATGGAATATTTGTGAGCGACAACGGTACTATCTATGTTGCAGATCGCAATAACCATCGAATCATGAAATGGCTCGCAGGAGCGTCATCTGGCATCCGTGTGGCTGGTGATGGAACATTTGGTTACAGTTTAACACAAGTGAATTCACCCACGGATGCGATTGTTGATGAGGATGAATTCATCTATATCACTGAAGCGATTGGCTCGCGGATCACCCGATGGGCTCCTCACTCATCCTATGGAACATGTATCGTCGCATGTTCGGGGACAACAGGAACTGGACCAAATCAACTCAACCAGCCTCACTCGTTAGCATTCGATAGTTTTGGTTCACTCTATGTGAGCGAGTGGTCAAACAATAG